ATTTTCTTTCTGAAAACTGTGAAATATTTTGATGTGGTGACTGAAAATAAAATCCCGATCTGTTTTGGTGGCTATTATTTCTAGGTCTATAGCTACATGACTTTTCACGGGACCCGTTGTTGTAGTTTCTGTTATTTGACTAATGTTACGAATTCGTCCATCTGGGATCATCGTCCTCGAAAATAATTGGTGTACACAATTGTGATCTGCTATAGCTAGGTGGAAGGAGTTTCTCTGATTAATTATTGCTCGAATGTTCTATTTCGGTAGATTTTGGTCTTTCTTCATGTATTGATAAAAAGATTTCATAGTTTTTTTTTGTTCTTGTGGTCCATTTGATTTATTTTCTTGTTTTTGTCTACATTTAGCAACACTGTGTCCGTATCTACGGCAATCCATTTTTTAAATGAAGGTTTTACTCTAGTGTTCGAGTTTCTCTCATACATAATAAGACTTTGGGTAAACTTTTCTGCTAACTCTTCATCTGAGTCTTGAATGTTGTTTATGTGTGAGGTAATTGCCTGAAAATTGTTTACAAACTGTAATTTTCAATTTTTGTTACTTCCATTTTCATCATGATTTCTGCTTGTTCCAATTTGTCTACAAGTTTGCGGAAGTCTGTATCAAGTTCGTGAACTGTTGATGGATTTGATGCACTCCTTTGTATTGCAAATGTTTTTATTTGCGGGATTAAGTTCATCATTAGAATTTCGGTCAATATTGTGTTTAAATAGTCGTGTGTCTTTAGAGAATAATCCTTTTGTACGAGTTTCTAGACTCTTACAGCAAATTGGTTTTATAGTTTGATTCGGAAGGTTACGAGTTTTTTCTACATAAAACTCTTTGATGTTGTTTTTTTTTCTCAGTCAAACAATTTTGAAACTTTTTGCTTAAAACGTTTCCAATCAGATTTATTTTTATGCGTTAGAGAGAAATCCTTTTTTGGGATGCACCGTCGGGCTTTGTTTGTATTAGTACTGTTCTGTACGCCTATAATTCCAATTTTGATGAAGTGGTGTATTCATAGGTTCTGGTCCTATATTCATTATTAGATTAGCTGTGACAGCGTTCAAATCATCTTCTACTGAGTGTTCAGGGTCTGCTTCTGTGAAAACTTTTAGTTAAAGATATTTGGATGTAAAAGACGACCCACCGATAAGGTATGTATTGTCATTTGAAATGATTCTGCTGTATTAGGTTTTTGTGTAGAATTTGTGAGTTGGTTTTCTTTAATTTCTTGTTATTGTAGATAAAAAGCGAATAGAATTTCATCTTTCAATGATTCTGGTTGATAGCCTTGAGTGTTTGTTTGATAATGTGATTGTATGCTATGGTTTATTTGAGTGAATTGTGGTCTTATATGGTATTTTTTTTGTATTTGTTGTTGTCTTGATGAATTTTTTAGGGTTCAAACAAATCTGATTGGAAAATACCATCTGGTTGACCAATGTCATTCTATTTTTTCCATGGTTTGAGTTATTTTGTTGTTGATTTCGATTGAGATACTCTTCATCTTCTGAAAAATTTGGTTGGTTTCCTTTGACTTGTATACAATGTGGGTTATAATTATTTTGTAGGAAAAACACATTGTTGTCAGTCCGACCTGTTTGAGTTTTCTCTTATCATTAAAACTTACAGATTGAGTTATTTGGTTTCTAGGCGTGTATTGATTGTAGTTATATTCTTGAGGCAGAGATTGTGTTGTAATGATTGATCGTACTTTTGGATTGCTGATATTATTGTCTGTATGAAAATCGTAATTACGATTTGCAGAATTATTGCCAATAGAAAACTTTGGTTTCTTTAATGGACGTTTTATAGTTACTGAGAGGTATGTTTCATAATCATTTAACAAAATGGTTAAAGATCCAAGAAAGGTCGTGATGATCTTGAAATAAACTTACGTTAGTCAATTCAAATCTGTTGTTTGTTTTAGTTGAAGAAGAACAATAACTGAAAACTTACCCGAGAAATAAGGAACTATATATTTTTATAAAAACCGATCATTAATTATTTTTACTAACTATTTTTTTTTCTCTTTTATCTATCATTGAACATTATGTTTCTGAAGTTTTTACAAAATGACTGTTAATTTTAAGAGTTTGAGGTAGTTGGAAGTTTTGTCGTCGACTAGGTATTCATTTATAAAACAAACTGTGCATCGTATTTAAATTTTTAAATATTCTGCTTTATAAATACTTTTACGGCTCTATTATTTGCAGTTCAATTAATTGACAGATGATTAATCGTTGTAGTCTGTTTTTTCGTTTTACAATCTAGAATTGTTTACTGTCCTGGTTGTGAGCTTGTTGTAAGTTTGTTTTTGAATTGACTTGATTAAAATTATTGAGAGGTGGAAATAGGCAAAATTTATTTTCGATTTGTTTGACCTGTTTTTCGCTTTTTTCGAACCTGATTTGTATTCTATGTTTGCCTGTTCTAAATTTAAACTAGCATAGTTCTGCTCGAGACTCGCTTGGTCACACCAGATGAGTGTAAGTCCGGGGTGGCTTTCTCACAGTAATTTTGGATGAAGTACACCGTCTGTTCGTCAAGGTATCTTGTTTTCGACCGGATAGACTCGTGCAAACGCATATGCTAATACCAATCCTAATTGTACTCTTATAATTCCTAGTCTCAATAGCTCTAGTATATACTGGTGTTCTTGCGAGGTTAGAGGAGAGGAAGAGTAACTGTTTGCTGAGTTAAATTTTTTCTTTTCTGACTGAAACTACTATAAATAATTTCAGCCTTACAATTTTTTATTCATGGATCATGATTGGTTAGTTCTAAGTATTTTACAGTGATAGTTATCATGAATATAAATGAGTATATTAAATGCTTGTTTTGAACTGGTTCCAAGAGGGATGTCTAAAGTATAATGGATATCAATTTGCAAAAATTCCACAAAATGTCAAAGTTTTGAAATCGAGAATGTCTTGAGTAATGCAGAGTTTTGTTCCAACTTGTTTGTGCTCGGGGTGCCTTTTTTTGTTTCCAGACCAATTTTGACTATTCAACTAGCAATTTTTGATGGTTTATTCAAAATAAGATTGCAAATTGTTGTTGTCCTGAGTTCAAATATAAAATGGGATTTTACCTGTGACCATTTTTTATAGAGTTATTGGGGCTTAAAGGTTATCAATTAGAACTATTTGGGACAATCAACGCGCGAAACATTGGCGCATATTCCCATACAAAACATTCCAATACAAAACAACCCGAAAAAAACTTCTGATGAGCAAAAAAAGCAATCCGATACAAAACAGTTCGGCATAAGGTTACCGGTGGGTGCACTATGCGCCTATGCGCGCGTCGGCGCTTGCTTAGCGGCAATAACTTGCTCTAATTTTCATTTTGAGTCCTACTTTCTGCTCGAAACACGTTGGCGCGACTGCGCTGGTAACCATTTTGTTGTCTATGTTTGTTGAACAAACGACAATTTTCGGCCTATTGGCACGATAAAACATTTATTGCTTTAGACTGTTTTTCGGACTGTTTTGTATCGTACTGTTTTTTGGTTTATTTGCATGCTTTTTGTATTGGGCTGTTTTGCATTGAACTTTTTGTACAGCACGGAAAAATTTTGTACGCGGAGATTTAATCCGAACTAGAATTGTTCAAAATTGATTTGAAGCATGCTTTTTAGTCTATTAAATTATTGCTTGGTGCGAGTTTTTGTTCAAATTTTTGTAACGAAAGTAACGGGATGTTCGTGCCCGGTTGTTTTTTTTTCTTCAGACAAGTTTCGACTTGTTAACAAGCCATTTTTGATCAAACATTTTTTATAGCATTCAAAAAGTATTGCCGTTCAGTTTGAATTAAAAAATTACCTTTGAGCAATTTTCGTAAAGCTATGGGGGTGTAAAGATTGCTATTTAGGCCAATTTGTGACAATTAATGCGCGGGCGGAAAATTAATCCGTCTAAGAAATCGTTCCAAATTGGTTGGAGGAAGCTTATTTGCCATTATTGATTTTTTAGTAGGAGCAAAATCTATTCCTTTGTACTTGATATGGCGTGTGGGGTGATGATTTTCCAAAAAAAGTTCAAATGTAAAAAAAAGCATTTCGTTTTTTTTTATTATATTAAATTATATATTATTTAAATTTTTTCAATTTAATTTAAAAAAATCAATTTAAAAAGAAATCCATTTTTTGAGCAAACAGTTGCTAAATAGACCTTTAAGTGCAGTCCGAACATTCAAGTTGATATAAGCAGTCTTGTTATCCATCGTAAAGATATTAATCGTTTTGATGGATATTGTTTAGCGATAAATTTCTTTTGAAATGCGTACTCATTTGAACTACATGCAAGATTTGCAAGATTTGTTGTAGTGGGTCGATGCAAGCCTGAGCCCATCAGCGTCCATGTGTTTCATTAAAAACGGGCCCGGGCTTGAAACTTTTGTTTCCCAATCCGGCTGGCAGGGCCACGGCTCGGGCCCGGGCCTAAAATGCAGGCCCGGTTCCAACTCTATGGATAACGCACAAGTTGAGCTCAAACCGGAAACAAATTCAAGTTCAAACTCAGTGAGCTCGTTGTCTCCCTATTTAGTTTGCAATCGAATCTTATGAAAATAGAATCTCGTCAAATTATGTACCATTCCGAAAATTTGAAAACTAAATGCCGGAGATTTTCATTTTTTTGAAATTTGTAAATACATTGATCAAGGAAAACTTTAATAATTCCAAGTCGAATACTTTAAGCTCAAATATCTCCCAGACATTATCTATGCTGTTTCTGTTCAAGTTCGATGTAAATTTCTTAGTAAACTGTACAAATGAGTTACTCAAAAATTTCATTGGCAAAATAAATTGATGCATTTTATTTAAGCTTCATTTTTCCTTGAGTTCTAGAGATCCTTGATCTGAAACATATGTAAAAATATGTGGATTTTAGTATAGTTAAAAAGTACAATAATAAGGGTTTATATTGTAAGAGTATGTGTCGAATGTGATTTAAGCCGAGCTTGGTTTTGTAATGAAAACTGTTTTTAAGGTGATGGAGATAGCGATTGAAGATGACCCGGCAGTGATGACATGCACCGGAATACAACATGCTAAGGCCTGGGTGTGAACAAATTTAATAATTGTCACCATCATCCGCCCCTTGACAATTATGATAGGGAACGTATTCTCCATCATTATCATCAAAAACAACTATCAACAAACCAGCAAATATCAACTAGATAGTCATCATCATCTATGTCAGGCGTCATGCATGATTGATTGTATCAGTATAAATTATTATTGTCAATGGGAAAATTTCCTCTAGATATAACAAAAAATTCATCATATTTGTAGAGTGACCCATTATCTGTGCAAAAAAATTGTTAAAATGTCAGGCTCAAATTAAACGATGGCCTGTTTTCTTCTAGAGATCTTCTAGGGAGCAGTAGTTGGAAATTGAAGCCAAAAAAATTTGCTCATTCGTAGTACGAGATTTTCTTTTCATTTAAATAATGGAAAAGCATAAATTGTACACTCCGTCATTCTTAAGAAAATGACCTTGGATGAAATCAAAGCTCAAAAATCAACAAATAAATTTAGGCTGCTGTAAAAACCCCTGCAGCAACCCCTTTTCGGCCTCATCAAAAATCGTCTAAAAATGTCTTTCAAAATATAACCTTAAAACATTTTATTCCTGGTGACGTGATAACCTTGCAAAACTGCTAATAAATGATTTCAGTTCCGTTTTTAATTTCAGTGACTGGGTTGTATCGTATGAAATACGCGGTTATTAAAATTGAGGGACATGTCTCGTTTGCAGAAAAAGTGAGGGGGTTACTGGTCTCATCTGCTAATATAACTTGTCATGAAAAAATGAAATTAGGGAACAACATTTAAAATTGAAGGGGACACGTTCATCATAACCTACGAAAATTAGATGATGAAAAAATGAGTTTGATACATGTTCAAACATTTAAAAAATAAATCCAGCGACAAAAAAAAACTAATTGACTGCGGGGTTCACTGACATGTTGAGGAATCCAGCGTAAAAAGGACAAATTTTTGCGGAATCCACTGACAAACAGGGAAACCAGCGACACTTCCCTTCAATTTACTCCAACTGCAAAAATGGATTTGTCTGCGGAATCCAAAATAAGTATGTCTTAGCATTTGTCTGCAAAACCCGCATTTTCACTGGATTCCAAACTTTTGCTCGCCAGCTAAAAATTAGTTTAAGCGCCTTGCTTTAACATTTGTCTTTCGATTCCATCAAACTTCAACTTCGAAGGCGTTTCGAAACGCTGGGGAATCCAACACAAATTTTGCGGATTCTATAGTGAATGTATGCGGAATCCAAACCACTACCAAAGTACCCGAGCTTGGCGTCGTTAAGTTTTGATGAATTTTACCTTCTAATACAAATTGACAGTTATCTTTTTTTCGCTTGATTGCAATTTTTTAAACATTGCAATTCGAATTTGAAACTTGAAAATGCATCTAGTTTTTAAGGCTACAAAAACAACAAGAAAAAAGTGGGTTTGAAGCGAATGCTAATTTTTGAAACTATTTAATGTGAAAGTGGAGTGGATACGTTCTTCACATAATTTACGAAAATGAGATGTTGAAAAAACTGGTTTGTTATATGTTCAAACATTTGAAAATGTGCTTATGGAAATCCGCGACAAAAAGAACTAAATGAATGAGAAACTCTTTGACACGTTATGGAAACAAGCGACAAAAAGAACAAATCTTTTGCGGAATCCACTGGTAAACAGTGGAGTCCAGCGAACTTTCATTTCAATTTACTCAAACTGCAAAACGCATTTGTCCGAAGAATTTGAAGCAAGTATGTCTTAGCATTTGCCTCCAAAATCCGCATAGTCATTGGATTCAAAAATTTTGATCACTAGCTAAATTTGAATTTTAGCGCTTAGTATTTAAAGATTTGTAAACCGGTTATATCAGATTTTCGGCTTCAAAGGCGTTTCAAAATTTTGCGGAACCCAACAAAAATCTTGCGGATTCTAGGGACATTGTATGCGGAATCCAAACCGCTACCAAAGTACCTGAGCTTGGCGTCGTTTTATTTTCATAATTTTCACCCACTAATTCAAATTGATTGTTATCTTTTTTGCGCTCGATTGCAATTTAAAACTAGCGAGAGAGGAGGGGGCAGTTACCACATAGATAAACTGCATCGGCTGATACTAGCCATGTACAATAAGGTTAAATTTTTTATACAGAATTATAACGCCACAAACAAATCCTTTTGTATATGGCTAAAAAGTTTCAAAGAATTCGGTGAGTGAAAAAAAAGGCATGTGTTTATAAAATATATAGTTTATCTTCGCGCATGAAAGAAAATTGAGTTTAAAAAACACTTGGTGATTTTTGCACTTTTTGTACAAAATGGAGGAAGAAATTGTCGCAAATTTATGTTTTTTGTTTTGAAAAGAGCGTGTCATAAAGGTGAAATTGCATGAAAATTTTTTTTATGCCCAATTTTTTCTCATTTAAACAAAACTGCCGTAAATTTGTTTGTTTGTGCTTTAAACCAATTCGAGATCATTTTCGACAAAAAATTTTGATGAAAAAAACGCTTATCATATAATTTCTTGTATGAAAATTGTATAGTAGCATTTATTCAAAGACTCCATATATGAAACTAGGTGATGAGCGTTTTTTGCATGGCCGTCTTCTTGAATAACGTCCTGGTTCTGCCAGAGAAAATTAGAAAAACTTCAGCTTAAATCAGTGGCGTGTCGAGGTGGGGGGAAGCGAGGGGGACCGCTCCCCCCCCCCTCACTACTGGTTGCCAATTTTTTTTTCAGAAAGTAAAGTCCCCCCTTGGTATAAAAATTTTATATAAATTTTTAGCAGACAAACTTTTAAAATTTTCTGAGGGCGCCATCGGCGCCAATATAACAAAAGTGCTGAAAACGTCAATTTTAGCCTTTTTGAAGTTTTTTTTTCGAAAAATTGCCAACAAACCCCCCCCCCCTACCTCCCCCCCCCCCCCCCCCAGAAAAGATTCTGCGCACGCCACTTGCTGAAGTTGTTTAACATTGGAACAAAAATGGCATAATTATTCTGCTACATTTGTATAGCCAATCAATTGTTCTTTCCGTTTTTTTAGTAAGATTCATACCGTGTTCTAGTAGTTACTTTGCGTTGCCTCGTTCCTCCGCCGCTTTCAAAACTTTTTTTTCAAAAGTATATTTATCAAACATTCATGTGACACTTGGAAACTTTAAAATCAGTAAGCATAATTGTTGACTGAATGAGTGAAAACTGATAGGACTGCACGTAGAAATTGGAAACAGAGTCTGAAAGCAACGCGAGTAAAATCAATTCTTGTTCGAATGTTCATTTCACTAGGGGTCCATTTTGTGATGAGCTAGTTTTCCTCGCTTGATTTGCTCCATTCGAGTTTGCAATTGTATCTAGACTTCTTCTGGAAAGACATATACTTAAAGTAGCTGCCAACACTAGAAAAATCAGAAGTCCCAGTAGAATTTTGTGACCAATAGGTTTTACTGTCAAAAGTTCGATTGATGTATCTTCACTCATTTCTGGTAAGCAACAAGAATTGTTGATCTGAAGTAGAAAAAAAAAGATAAATAATTGAAATCAAAAGTAGCTGTCGAAAATTTAAAATCAAATATGTGACTTTTTGGGGAGAAATTTGTTAGAATTTTGTGTGAGGAAAAAACTAAAGAAAAAGTATTCAATTTTATATGAAAGATATTGGGCCGTGTGTTCAATTAAAGATTCGCACAAAAATTTGTATCGATAAAAATATATGCATTATGTTTTGCTTTTTTTAATCAATATTTGTGAGTTAATGTGAGAAGAATGACTTTTGAATGACCAATTTTGATATTGGTCGATAAAATTTGAGAACATTTCAAGTGCAACGGTACTTACGTTTCCACACCTATGGTCATTTTTGACAAAACAAACAGCTTTAGCGTTTTGTTTAGTTAATAAAAATGCGATAGCTTAACAGTCGTTTAAAATCTGTATGATCTTGGCGAGTAATTTAATATCAAACTACATGCGGAGAAGTACTTTCGAAGAATTTTTTTTAAAACTTAAACAAGACTCGGGATCTTGTTAACTATTCCCCCTTTTGGACCTTGTTACTCCTACGCATGTATTATTTTTTGACAACCATTTTTTTAAAAATAAAACATGCATTTCAAAAATGTCAACAATTATTTCGGTTTTTTTTCTTGCGTTCGTATTTGTATTAGTCACTATTTATCTAATACCTACGAAAAAAAATTTAACTATGTTGAATTTGTTTAATTGTTTAATTGTTGTAATTGTTTTCTGAAAATTGATTTAAGCTATTGAAAATGAGCCCGCCAAAGTTGAATTTCTGAAAATCGAAATAGGGAGTGGAAGGAAATAGTTAATAAGATCCAAGACTCGTATCAGGGTGAAGCCTCATATTCCGAAAATTGGGTCTTATGCACTAAGGTGTGTACCTACAGAGCTGCATTCCTAGATAGCCGAAAAAAAATTGTGAGGGTAATCATTAAAAAAAAAAAATTACAAACAAGGAAAATTCGCAAAAAAATTTGGACCTTTTTTTCTGAACTTAGCTAACAAAAAATCTTATAAACTTAAAACTTTTTTGCGTAATAGCTTTGATTTCAAGGAATTAGAAAGCAAAAAAGGCTACTACTTTGATAACTTAATATTTTTTTCGGCTACCTAGGAATTGTTGATTATCAGAAAAAATATATTCTAGTTATTAAACAAATAAAAGCAAAATCAAATAAGTGTTTTGAGATGGACGCAGGGAGCAGGCACTAAATAATGTTTAAAAACTCAATTTTTTTCAAGATTTTGTCAAAAGTAAGATCTTTACAGCGTTACGGTGTAGCTCAAATTAGCCGCTCCAAAAAAAGCTCAATACTTTAATAGTTTTCAATTTTTAAAAATCGTTTCCCTCATCATACAGTTTTTCTATTCTGAGGATCTATAAATAACTTAAGATGGGGGCGGCTATAATGGGAAAAACTGTTGAATATATTTTTAATATTCAACGCGAATATGTTTACTTGTGGATCGAATCAAGTTTTTTTTCTGGAACAAAAAAGATTTTTTCGCTATCAGGGAGCGTATTTGAGTTTCGGCTATCCGGGAATGATTTTACTTTTCGGCTATCCGGGTATTAAGCTCCGTGATATGCTGCCTGCACTAAAAGGCCCAAAATCTGTGGTCTTTCGCTCACGAGTTTCTTCGCTCATTCGGTCCTTCGCGCATGAAAATAGCCCCTCTACATGGTGGAATTTCTCATACGCGAAGGACCGAATGCCAATCGGATTTTAGTAATCCAAAATTTGGAAAGAAAGTAAACATTTCCAGGGACTGAATTTTGATATTAGTCGAATATAAAAATGGCAGAAATATGCAAAATTTTGAAATTGTCAATGACCGCCGCCGAATTGGAACAAATTTTATATTTCAATAGTTTCGTTATGAAAGAAGCAAAATTTTGCTTCATTTATTTCAATTTAATTGAATGGCAAATGCTTCTTTCTAAAAATTGACTTTCGGCTTATTTTAATTTCGGTCTTTCGCTCACGAGTTTTTTTTTTGCTCATTCGGTCCTTCGCGCATGAGAATAGCGCCCATGCTACATCTTGTAGTGAAATTAATGTGGTTGAATCTTATTGACTAATTAGACCCC